ACTATTTTAAAGAAAAAATAAAATTTTTTTATTTTGTGTTTTTTTATTTTGTTTTTATTTTTTTTATGATTTTGATTAAAATAAAATAATATATAAAACTTATAATATCATATAATTTAAAATAAATTTTTCATATTTAAATATTTATAAATTAATTTAAATTTGACTTGAAATTTGATTTGAATTTGATTCAACTCAAATAAATTCAAGTCAAAATTAAGTTGAGTTGAATCAAATTAAGTTGAGTTTAAAATTTATATAACTCGAATCAAGTCAAGTTGAAAGATTTTATAAAATAAATTTGACTCAACTCAATTTGAAAAAAATGAGTTAAATAGAGTTGATCTTTAAACTCAACTCAACTTGACTCATTCAGAACTCTAGTCTAAATAGTGGTATTTTTTTGTTAAAATATTTTTTTATCACTTCTTTTAACTATTTTTTCTGTTTTTTCTTCTTTTTTTTGCCTACAAAAGTGAAAATCAGTAAGTATCTTAAATGATGATTAGAATCAATAACAACTTTAGATTAACCAATCACACGTGATGATTTTTCTATTACCTTCCTAAATAGCATATTCTTTTTAGATTCCTGATATCATAAAGCCTGCTGATCTTAATAAGATTTCTGATTTTTATAACCATATAATTTAGATTTCGTGTAATAACTGCTGACAGTTGTAATCTAAATTGACAAACATATTAGCATGAAAGTTTGAGAATACTGAAAAGCCTCTGACAGAACTTAGTGATATGAATGATCTTATGACAGGAAGTCACTGTAATTAGAAATTTAGCTAAAAACTTATTAGAATCAGATTTTTTATTACTTTTTTTTGATTTAATAATAATTTGAGTTATTTATTTTTGTATTGAATTTAAATTTAGGATAGGAATTATTAAGAGAGAAGCGTAATAGTAATCTAGTTATCATGTGTTAATAGAGACTCTATTAATAATTATCTTCAGAATATAATAAGATGATTGGTTGGTCTAGGGCTAGTAAGTTTTTAACTTGCAAAAACATTTTAGGCAGTTCTATTTATTTTTTCTATTATATATATCTAGTTTTTAGAACTTCCATGTATTAATTTACTGGATTTAAATTTTTATAATAAATTTGAGTATTATTACATCTTTAAAAAAATAATTATAAAAATATAAAATTTAGTTTATTGGATTTATCAAATTAAGATTTATTAAATGATAATATTTTTAATTTTTGAGATTGATAGATAATAAGATATATATAAGTTTAAAATTTTAGTTTTTTTTTTATAATAATTTATTATTTATTTATCTTTAAAAAATTATTAGTTAATTACATTTTTTTTTTAATTTTATTTAAAAACATTATAAAATTTATTATAAATGTATTAATTTTTTAATAATATATTTTAAAATATTTAAAAATACAAATTTGTAAGCAAAAACAGTTGAAGGGATAATATATTATTTTTTTTAAATAATTTGATTAGATTAGGTTAGATTAAATTAGATCAGTTTAGATCAAGTGTAAATCAGGTTAAATTTTTATTTGACCTGATCTTCTCTTAGTTCAGGTAACTTAATTGACCTAATCTGAACTGATTTGTTCAAAGTTTTAGTTAATAATAATACAAGTATTTTTATTATACTAATATATATTATTTATTAAATATTTAAAGTTTATAAAGTTTAATCTTTATTAAAATATTTAAATAATATTTTTTATTTTTTAAAATAAATGTGAATCTTTTATAATAAAAAGAAAAAATTATTAATTTATTTATATAAAATATAAATTTTTAAAAATAATTTTAAATTAAATATTAACTCAAAAAAAAATTTTTTTCTTTTTATTACAAAATATTTATATATTAATTAATATTTCTTAAATTATAAAGTATACAATTTGCCTGCAAATATAAAAAAATATATTAATTATTTAATAAAATATAAAATATTAATTCTTATATAAAAAATATATTTTAATATATATATTTTATTTACTTTATTATAAAATATTTTAAGTTTAATTAGAAGATTTAAAATAATTTAATTATATAACTAAAGAAATCACTTTATTATTAATAAAAGTTATAAAAATTTCTTAACAAATTGTAAAAATTATAATATTTAAAGTTATTTTTATGATATATTTTATAATATTCTATAAATAATATTATTAAAAGTAAATTTTAATAAGTTTATTGATAAAAAATTTTTAAAATAATACAAATTTTTAATTTATAAGTAACTTTAAATTTTTATTATATAAAAAATATTATAATAAAATATATGGGGCCTTTGCAATAGAAAGGAAGGAAACTCAAAAAAAAAATAAAAAATGAGTTAATAATAAATCTGAACAAATTATAGTATTTGAAACATTTTTGGCTTATAAACTAAAATTTTAATTTTTTTGGAGTTTCCTCCCTTTCTATTGCAAAAGCCGCATATTTATAAAATTAATTTAAAAAAATTTTTTTATTTTTTATAAAAGTAAATTAGAAGAGAATTTATAGTAAATAATTAAATAAATTTGTTTATAAATCTTTATAATTTAAGAAAATTAGTTGTTAAAAAAAAAAAAAAAAAATATTTTATGAAATTAATATAATTTAATATGAATAAGATGATTTTAATATTAAAATGTGTATTAATAGTATATTAAAACAGATTTAAACATGTATCAATACAAAAGAAGGTTGTATAAATATTAATTATTAATAATAAATGTTAGTTAGTTTTAGACATTTAAATAAAAAAATAAATAAATTATTATTAAAAATTATAATTGCTATTCTTTTCACTATTGACTATATATACTAACTCAAATTAAAAATTAGTATATGCTAATGCTAAGACTTTTCTCTAGAATCTTTATGATTCTTATAGAATATATATATTTTTTTATTAAATATGATCAGAAATATGAGGTTTAATAAGAAATATATAGGTTTAACTCTAGATATAATATTGGTTTAATAATAATTAAATAAACAATTATTATTGTATATTAAATATTTAATTTGTCAGCTTTACTTATAAAGATGGTCCCTATAATTATTTTCAAATTTCAATTGAGTTGCAACTTAATTGCGTTATAAGAAAATTTAATTTTGCCACAAGTTGCAACTTAATTGCATCATTTTTTTTAATTGCGGTGACCATCTTTATTTACTTAGCTTGAATTGTTCTAAGAAAAAGCTAAATGAATAGACTTAGCTTGATTTAATAGTCAAGCTAACTTATATGAAGCATTAATTACTATAACTAAGAAGTATACTTTTATTTTATCTTGAATTTTCTAAATTATATATGTAATACTAATTAATAAAGTTAAATTTGTAAAATAAATATGAATTTTAAATTGTTATAATTGATCCTATATATATTTTTTAAATTAGATATATGTAGATCTCGTGATAAAGAATACAGTCAAAGTGATCTATAATGAATCTCTATTTTCAGAGATCACAATTCGTTATAATAAAAAAATTCGGTAATGTTTTACCGAATTTTTTAAGTTTATTTATTTTATGGTTATATCAAATATCATATACAAATTCAGTATATTATTTATAATATGATTGTTATTTTTATTATATATTCGAGAGGTTTAATGACAAAATTGGTAAAAAAATTCCTTTCTGCTATAAAACTTTACAAACTTTTATTCGTTTTTCTTACCTATCAAATCCATTCCTACAAAAGAATCTAAGGTAACTTGTTACTTGGAATAAAATTCTTCTCATTCTATAGCCTTTTGCAATTTTTTTATTGCTTGAATTTGGCCTTTTAGAAATTGAATTTTTTCAGCTTTTTGTTCAACATACATAATTATTTTTTCAAGTGCTGCTAATGCTTCATAATTACCAATAATGAGAACTTCAACTTCTTCTTCAATATCTTCTTCTGGCTCTCTCAGAAATTTTAAAATTTCTTCATTAGTTATCATTTGATGAATATTTTCTTCTTTTTCATATTGAAGATATTCTTCTATAGAGATTAGATCTTTGTATATATCTTTAGTTAATTGGTTAATAAGATCCTGTATTTTATTAATATCATCAATATTATCATTAATAAAAGAACTTTCATCATCAATTTCAATATCTTCATTATCATATGAAAGAATATCTGTCTTTTTCTAACAATTTATAATTGTTTCTAATTGAATAGAATTCCATGCTTTTGCTACATATTTAATTGCCTTTTTAATAGTAATTTCAGACATAAGTTGATCAGTTTCTAAACTATTATCAAATTTTTTAATACGATTTTTTAAAAACAGTTTTTGATACTACGCCTATATAATAAATATACAGGTATATATTAATTTAATATTAATTTTTATTTTATCTTATAATATGAATTTATTAA